TCAAATTAATAATTACTTGAGAATAATTGTATATACTTCAGATATATATGAATATAAATTAAATATAATTACATGAAGCATACAAACATAGCATGGTAGAAGAAAATTAATTAATGACCCATTTATCCATAAATAATTAAAATACATATTTGTTGATTACAATAAACAATTTCAAAGACAACAATTAGCAACAATTATATTTTACCCAATATCTTTCATGCAAACCCTAGTCTAATTTCATCAAACACAAATTTACAAAACCAAAATTAATAAAAAAAACCAAACCCTAAATCTAGATCTACATGCACATGAAACATCCATAAAACTAACTAATTGTTCACTAAAATCAAGAAACATGGACCAAATAAGGGTATGATCTTGTTTCCCTCCCTAATTTACCCTAGTACATTTAAAACTTGGGTCTAATTTGCTTCATAAGTAGCTTAATCACCATAGAAGAGAGAGAAAAGCAAAACTCTAATTACTCACTAACCAACCATTAAAACTTAAAAAAAATGTGGAATAGCATTTTTTTACCGTCTACAACCTTTCCACCAAAAGATTTGAGACCAAAACCTTTTCCCCTTAGTAGAACAATTTTTAGGAGGTGCCTAAGGCCTCCCCACCTTTCTTTCACGGGTTGGAGTGAGTGACCCGAGGAGAAAGAGATGTTGCAATTTGCTTTATATGTAGGTCATTTGTAGGGGCGGCTGGTGATGGAGCCGCCCCTACAAATCGAAGGTATTTATACGCGGGTATTTGTAGGGGCGGCTCAATCACCAGCCACCTCTACAAATAGCAATACCGGGGGCGGCTGGTGAGTGAGCCGCCCCTACAAATCCGACCCATTTATAGGGGCGGCTCGTATGATCAGCCGCCCCTATTGATCCATTTATAAGGGTAGTTGGTCTTTGGACGTTTGAGCACGTCACTGTAGGAGCGGCTCCATCCTAGCCGCCCTAAAAAAATTTATTCGGTTGCTAGGAATCGTTTTTTTACATAGTGAAGGTTGTAGTACAAAGTTGTAATAACAGAGACCGAGAGTACGAGCATCATAGTAGCATGTAGGGCAGAGTTTATTTATTCACTGGACACTGATACAGTGGTACATGAGGTGATGCCATGGGCACAGCAAAAACTTTTTATCTCAAGCTTGACTGAGGTCGCGTTTAGTTCCGAGCCAAAAACTAAAAATTTTCAAGATTCTTCGTCACATCAAATCTTGCGATACATGCATGGAGTATTAAATGTAGACGAAAAAAAAACTAATTACACAGTTAGCCGAGAAATCGTGAGACGAATCTTTTAAGCCTAAATAGTCCATAATTGAACAATTTTTACCAAATAAAAATGAAAGTGCTACAGTAACCAAAAGCCAAAAATTTTAGAAACTAAACGGGGCCAAAGTAGTTAGCAGTGCAATATTGTACTAGTAGTACAATGCGTGGACACACACGGTTCGGTCTTTTATTTCCGCTAGCTGGTCTTGTTTAGATTGCAAGTTTTTTCATTCTCTCTCCGTCACATCAAATCTTTGATATATGTATGAAGTATTAAATGTAGATAAAAAATAACTAATTACATAGTTTGACTATAAATTACGAGACGAATCTTTTAAGTCTAGTTAGACCATAAATGGACAATAATTGTCAAATATAAATGAAAATGCTACCGTGCCAAATACTAATTCATAACCCCAATCTAAACGGGGCCTTGTTGTGTCCGCCCGGGGCCACTACTTCAATTGTTATCGTTTGACTGCACGACTCGGCTGCAACCTTTAGATTAGTGAATCTTTTTTGAAAGGTTAAAAGGAGGGTATAGTTAATCTATTTTTATTTTCTTCGAAACTAGTGCCCTCTTCCTCTGTGTGCCTAAAAAAGGGAAGGTGAGGGGCTTACTTAGAGACGGGTAGATAGAGTAGACCAAGAAGAAGAAAAGAAAGCGCGGATGTACCCTTATTATCGCAGTTACGAATCAAATATATAGCCCGTAGTTGCAAGGCTTTCTAGCTATGTTTGCTTCCTCTTTTCCTCTCTGTTCCGGATATCAATTGAGTTTAACTAAAGGAATGGCTCCTTGAATGAGACTAGCCGGCCAGTAAATAGAAATGGCCACGCCCATTGAAGCATAAGGATACCAAAGATTGAACCCTACAACCTAGCTACTTGACTACTCCGTACTTGAGAAGGGGTTTCCTACTTGGTTGCCTACTTGGGTAAAAAAAAGAAATTTCGGAAATTACTGAGTATTACTCGATACCAGAGTTCAAAACGATTTTAGTAGAAAAAACATTCAGGAATCCATAGTCATCTTTCATTGTCTCCCCTCCTCTCCCTTCAGAAGCTCATCCATCCACTACTACTGAGGTACTGACAGTTGACCAAGCATCATCTCCATTTGAGAAGAACAATAAAGAAATAGTTTGAGATTGGGGTTTTCTGTACTGCTTATTTCCGAAAATGAGTGTGAGTACTACCGCACCCCTGGTTTCTACTACTATTGAACCTTTTACATTTGTTGCACCAGTAGTGCTAGATATCAAGATTACTGGTCAGAAATATCGAGAGTTAGATTATTATTGTGTAACAATTCTTCATACTGTTGGCCTTGCCACACATCTTATCTTACATATCCTCCACCAAATATAACGCTACTGATAAAGGTTCAAAAGATTGGAGGATCGTTGATAGTCGTGTAATGGTGTAGTTCTGGCCAAGAGTGGAGCATGCAACTACAACCAAAGCAATGTGGAATTTATGAAAATAAAGATATCAACAAAGTAGTTTAGCTCCTCGGTATATTCCACTCCATCACTTTGAACAACAAACATGCATGTCAGTTGAACAATATATATAACGGATTAACGGTGCTTTCATTAAACTGTCGATCCGGCCAGTGAATTAGAGACTCAGTGGTACCAAATTAAAGCCCCAACTTCTGCATGCATATAGATATATTGTGTTGCTAGCTAGGGATGAGTACGAGTAATAACATAATACAATTTCAGTTGGCATATAGTCAGATTGTTAGCTTCTCTTAGTTTGTTGTTGTCTTTTTCATGCATGTTAATTTTTCTCCGTTATTTCTTCCTGTCGTGGTTTTTCTTTCAGTCATCCTGGTTTTCCATTTTGCCCCTAGTGGTGTGCTTTTTCCGGGTCTTGTTTTTTCTTCTATCAGTAGGTGGGCAAATGTCTGAAACGGGATGACTGAATTATTCTTGTATCTCTTTTTTTTTCTTTTTCTTCGTCTAATATAACGCCTGGCAAAACTCTTGCTGCTCTTTCGGGAAAAAAAAAAATAGGACCGTCGTGAAGAGCTTTCAAAATCGAAGTGACGACTGATGAGGGAGTAAATGGTGGCACACCACCTACCGTGCACCGATGCTCACGACGCGGAGGACGGGGCACCCCCTGCCTGACCTGCTACTAGTCCTCTAGCATATAGTTAATATACATGTATTTTTTTGAGTGGAAGTTAATATACATGCATGTATGTATATTGTTGTTTGGCTCCAAACGGCAAGCGTCAAGTGTGTATTTGAGGCCTAATAAGAAGCAGCCCATGTAATTGCTGCTGCTCCCTTCTGAATACGCAGGGTCAAGCCTTTTTGCCAGTTCGCGGACTTCGGAACTTCGCCATGCTGGTACTGTAGGAGTGAGAGGCCGGACGTAAAACGCTGCGCCGTGCCACCGCGGCCACGACAGTGCCGCCACCGCTGTCCCAAATTGACACCACCGGGCGCCGGCTGCCGACCTGCCGTCCAAATTGCCTCCTGTAGGTGTTGGCCAAGCGATCAGGCCACCAGAAGCAGCCGGTAATCCACAATCCATAATCATGCAGTGGTATTCTTTTATCTAGTAAATAACAGTCACTAGTATTTTTTTAATCAAACTGCTCTTACTGGTACTCGTAGAACTAAATTTAGGATAATAGATATGTAATTTCTCTTCCGGTTAAGATTTGTGAAACATATATTACAACTATATATGTGATACAGCTTGGTATAGTTTACTAGTTTAGTCTTATACATGCCGCCCCCAGCGTGGAGCCGATGGAGTCATGGCCGTGCAGTGACTACTTAGCTCCTTCAGCACAGTCGAAAGGAAATGTACCAGCACTAGCTATATAATAGTCGAAAGGAAATGCACCAGCCCTGCGCCAATATAACGCGCGCCGTCGGTGGCCGGCCCGCGTGTATAGTCTCGGTTCGGAATTGATGAGCTGAGCTAGTACTTGCTCTTGGTGCACAGTCGAAAGGAGATGCACATGTAGCGGCCGGGTCATCAGGGCCCGCTCGCCACGATCACCTTGCGTCTCCTGTACTGCAACGGCAGCATGCAGGCTGCGTGCGCGCCCGAAATAGTTGTAGCAGACGGTCATGCACGCCGGCGCTGCCGCCACCTGCGTTCCAAACAGATCGACGCACGGGCCGACGGCGGGCATTGGCAGCACATCATGCATGCATGCCAGTACATCTCCTTTCGCCGCTGTGCCGCAAGAGCAAGTAGTAGTAACTGCATGCATGCACGGCCATCACTTCGATCCATCGGCTCCACCCTGCCGGCCATGATTCTCCGGCGCCGCGCTGGCCGGCCGGTCCCGCCGCGCGTCGCGTCGCCTCGCTCTCAGTCGCAGTCGCAGGCCAAAACGCCGTGGCGTGAGCGGTGCACGGCAGGTGGCCGGTGCGCCACCGTACAAATTTATTGCTCATCAGTCATCGCTGCATGCATGGCCACACCGTACCACCACGACACGTACGAGTACGACGACGACGACCGGCCGCGTGAACCAACGTGCAGGAGGGCCATACTGAGCCACATAACTCTCCATTCATCTCTTCTTCCCTTCACTTTCGTTCACCCATGCATGGCCGCGAGCCAGTGGCTTAGCTGCTAGCTCTGCTCGTCAGTAGCCTCGATCTGCAACCATTGTCCACATTTTGGACCGCCACCAAGCACTCGTGCGCTGCAGCTTTCAGCTATCTGATACGGCCGACGATGGCCGCCGCCGGCCTCCTCCAGCTGCGGCTGCTGCTCCTCGCCGTGCTCGCGGTCACCGCTGCGGCCGGCGGAGTGGGGAGGGCGCCGGCGCTGTTCGTGTTCGGGGACTCGCTTATCGACAGCGGCAACAACAACTACCTGGCGTCGCTTGCCAAGGCCAACTACTTCCCCTACGGCATCGACTTCGCCGACGGCCCCACCGGCCGCTTCTGCAACGGATACACCATCGTCGACGAGCTCGGTACGTACGGACGTGCGGCAGCGTGCGTGTGTTTGTATGCTAATATATGCACGTTCGTCTAGGATATGTTCTTCTTTGGGGAATTCCTTCCTTCTGAGCTTCTTGTTGCTGGCTAGTTCAGCCGTCATACACAAGTCAATTCTGCTTAATTTCTTTCGGACAAAAAAAAAATACTAAAATCAGTGTGCATTCTGCTGTAAGTTTCTGACGACCAATTCTCATAAGTGCTTAGTTTCTGAAATAAAATGGGTAAAATTAACAGCTTGGTAAATTTTTTCCACTGAAATCACTTTTTTCTGTTCTCAACTACTAGTATTAAAAACCCACTGCTCAAACTTCATCCCTCGAATTTAGGATAGATTTTGGGTGAAAATATGACGCTGATGTAGCGTCAAGACCAAGGCTAAAGTAGTTTTTACAATTTTGAAATTTGGGAAATATTTATAAGTATTTGGGGTAAAGTATATCATATCCATTTATTGATCGCGTTTACTAATTAAAATTCAATCCCGTTGAGAATTAACTGTTTTAGTTTTTTTAATGCCATATATGCGTCCACTGGTAGAGAAGTGGGCAAGTCCCGGTTGGGAAGTGCCTTTCCCCGGTTGCCTCAACCGATAGTAAAGGTCCTCCGGGCTAAAAATATAATGCTTTTCACCCCTGCGCGGCTCGCGGGATTCAAACCCAAACCTCATGCATGGCCTCGCGTGTACCTTTCCACCACACTTACACAACATATGTGACCTTAGAAGGGATGCTTTTCTTTTAAACTAGCCTATCGAAGGACCTTTAGTCCGGGTTGGTAACACCAACCGGGATTAAAGGGTCCTTTAGTCTAGGTCGGCAACACCAATCGGGACTAAAGAGTCTATCTTTAGTCCGGGTTGGTATTACCAACCGGGACTAAAGGTCAAGGCTCTTTAGTTTGGGTTGGTAATACCAACTGGAACTAATGTAGACCCTTTAATTCGGGTTGGTGTTACCAACCGGAACTAAAGGTCCTTTGAAGCCGAGGAAATTTGGACCCGTCACATTAGTCCCGGGTCCAAAGCTAGTCGAGACTAATGTGCTGAACGAAAAGTCTGTTCTCTACCTAAAGCTTTTTCATAATTGCTAATGTAGTATACTTTTTTTTCAAAGTAGGCATGGTTTCAGAAATTTGCAAATTAGCAAATGACTTTGAATAGTTTTAACAAAAGTTTTGTTGCACATAGAATTGTTTACAACCTAAATCAATTTATCACACAGTGAATTAATGTTTTATTTGGCATGATTTATTTTATATTATTTTACGTACTATCTTTTCTTAGTCGTCATTTATACTTTATTTTACTTATGAAATTATTTAGCTTATAAATATTCCTCTGCACTAATGTTGGTCTCATGTTCTTAACGTACCATGCTGCCGAGTGATAATGTTGGTCCACCTCCAAAATAAAACAAGAAACACCAACAGTGTAGCTGGAGTCTTCTTGTCAGATTGAATTAACAAGCATTGAATTGACAATCACAGAGTAGGGCCTTGTTTAGATGCATCCCAAATTCCAAGTTTTTTCACTCTCTCTCCATCACATCAATTTTTAGCCGCTTGCATGGAGTATTAAATGTAGGTAAAAAAAACTCACGAGATGAATCTTTTGAGCCTGACAACAACATTTGTCAAATAAGTAAAGTGACTATTCATCGGGTTGAAATTTTTTCAGCATCTAAACGAGGCCTAGGAATTCTTCTTCTTTTTATGACAACAACAGAGTAGGACTTCTTTGTCAGATTGCTAGAGTACAATATCAGAAATCGCATTAATAATCTAGTGCTGGTAGTACGGAGGCAGTCTATAATTCAAGTCAGGCCTTATTTAGATGACATCAAAGTTTCAAGTTTTTTCATTCTCTCTCCATCACATTAATTTTTGGACGCATGTATGGAGCATTAAATGTAGGTAAAAAAAGTAACTAATTGTACAGTTTGGTTGTAAATCACGAGACGAATCTTTTGAGCCTAGTTAGTTCATGATCGGACAAAGTTTGTCAAATACAAATGAAATGTGCTACAGTGTCCAGATTGCAAAAAATTGCAATCTAAACATGGCCTCACTTCTATTTATGGAACACAACAACTATCTCGACAGATCACTGAATCCTTGGTGCAGATGAAATGCCCTCTTGTGTTTGTCACTCATTTTTTTGTTCAGTAGTTGAATGCGTGCATGACTTGTTTATGCAATAGGGGTAGAAATGACACAAAGTTTACTGAGTATCTACGGCCTGTTCGGCTGGGACTAAAACGATCGTATATGATCGTGGATTATTACTGCTAGCTAGTTTGGTGTGAGAGAAAAATACTATTCTAGCTGAAAATTTACTATCGTTTACGACCAAGCGAACAGGCCGTACTGATAATCTAACTTGGACAAGAAAGGTCATGCCAAACTACACTGAGTTCAATCAATTTTAAATGACTTGATGATCACTGCAGTGCTGATAATTTTCTCCTTGAGTTGATAACCCCAATTTCTGCAAAAAAAAAGGTGTTTAATTTTATATAATGGGTAAAGCAAGAGATTAATCTTTCGTATAAATCATTTTTTACCTCAACTACCAAACCACATGCACATTACATTTTCTGCAGGAAAATGTGCTTACTTTTCTGTACAGTAATCATTTTTACCATCAACTAACAAACTGCACATATTTCATTTTCTACTCTCAAATATCAGTTCCCAACCTTGAGTTGAATTTAGAGTGGTTTCCTAGATGAAGTGGCGCTGATGTTGTGACACAATCAAGGTTCAAATAGTTACTAAAATTAAAAAAACTTTGGGAAAATGGCTTGGTCTATGGAGATTCTGTAACCTAAATCTATTTTATACATTTGAAGTAAACTGTATATAATTCCATTCTCTTGAGAACACAATGTTTTAGTTTGGAAAACCCATATATGCATATAAATAATTTTTCAAAGTAGGCATGGTTTACTTTGAAAATGTTCTCTTTCTTTTAGAAGTGGAGGGTTACTCTTAGTGGTCAATATATAATAAATAAAAGACAAAGTATTTTGAAAATTATGGGCCAATGTTTAATTTAAACATTAGCAAATGACTTTGAACAATTACAGAAAAAAGTTTATGTGCACACTGAATTATTTTAAACCTAAATCAATTTAATATGCACTAAATTAATTTAAAATTAGCATCATTAACATAAAATGTGAAGTCCATCTGGCCCACCCTCAACTCAAAAACCATAAATCTTACATCCCTCAACTTAAAAAAAGGGACAAATGACCCCCTAAACTAGTTTAAAGTAATTTTGAGTCATGTTGTTCTTTCTAATTAAAAAATATACCCTTTATAAACACTAGATAAGGTTTTAAACCACAAAAAAGATCTTCAATCTTGCAAAAAAACCCAAGAAAAATCCTAGAGGTATATTACAAGATACACCCAAACAATATATAGAGTTCATGAAATTATCTATGAAAGCTTCCAAAAATTGAATTGAGCTCTAGAAAATGAAGAAATATCTAGAAAAATCTAGAATGGTCTTGAAACATTCTGATTGAAGTATAAACACATTTTCAAAACTTTTCACAACAAAAACATGAGATGCAACTAGCATGAATGCAACCAACATTACTCTATATTGCATTCATGCTGGTTGCATCTATTTTTTTGTTGTAGAAAAATGTGCTTACTTTTCTGCACAGAAATCATTTTTACCCTCAACTACCAAAACACACACATATTTCATTTTCTACTCTCAGATATCAGTTCCTGACCTTGCGTTGAATTTAGAGTAGTTTCTAGATGAAAGTGTGACGCTTGATGTTGTGACATGACCAATGCTGAACTTCAAGAAATTTGCTTAATAACATTTTTACCTCTCGCTTTTTCTATGGAGATTCTATAACCGAAATTTGTTTTACACATTTGAAGTAAACTATATATAGAATTCCATTATCTTGAGAACACACTTTTCAATTTTGAAAACCCATATATGCATATGAGTAAATTTTCAAGGTAGCCATGGTTTACTTTGAAGTTGTTCTCTTTCTTATAGAAGTGAAGGGTTATCCTATGGGTTAATATATAATAAATAAAAGTGAACAAAGTATTTTGAAAATTACAAGCCAATGTTTAATTTAAAAATTGGCAAATGACTTTGAACAATTACATAAAAAAGTTTATTTGGACATAGAATTATTTCAAACCTAAAGCAATTTAATATCCGGTGACTTAATTTTAAATTAGCATGATGAAAATAAAAGGTGAAATCCATTTGACCTACCTCCAAACTTGTCACTGGAAAACCATCCTCAACTCAAAAAACATAAACCTTACATCCCCAACTTTCAAAAAAGGGACAATATAATTGAGCTCATGAAATTATCTATCAAAGCTTCAAGAAATAGAATTGAGCTCTAGAAAATGAAGAAATATCTAGAGAAAATCTAGAAATATCTTGAAACATTCTACTTAAGTATAAACACGTTTTGCAAACTTTTCACAACAAAAATATGAGATGCAACTAGCATGAATGCTACCAGCATTACTCTCTGTTGCATTCATGTTGGTTGCGTCTAATGATTTTGTTGTGGAAAGTTTTCAAAATGTGTTTACACATTAATTAGAAAGTTTTGAGATTATTCCATTTTTCTTGACATTTTCTATTTTTCTAAAGCTTAATCCAATTTCTGGAATCTTCTAGAGATAACTTAACAGGCTCCAAATATTTTTTAGTACCTATTGTCCTAATATATCTAGGATTTTTTTAAAGATACTTTCATGGTTTAGAAACCTTATATAGTGTTTATCAGATTTGTTTTTGAATTAGTGACTCAACACACCGTTAAAACCACTTTTAGCTTTGTGGGGTTTAGTTTGTCTGGTTTTGAAAGTTGAATGATGTAAGCGTTTGTGGTTTTGAGTTGATATAGGTTAGACTAGCAACAAGTTCAAGGGGTCAAATGGACTTCAGTTAAATAAAATAAAAGTAAGCTATCAATTGCTTGGGGTCTCCAAAAGGAAGAGACAACGAGTAGTTTGTAGCAATATTTGAAGTCAAATAACAGACAACGAGTAGTTTGTAGCAATATTTGAAGTCAAATAAATCTAGCACTATACTACTATAGTTCAAGTTAGTTAATTTCATTATGAAAACAACTATCTTTGACATATCACTAGATCATAAGTGCAGATCAAATGGCACCTTCTGCTTGTGACTTCACTTTTTGTTTAGTAGTTGAATGCGTGTCTAACTATACAGATTGTTTATGCACCAACCACGCGGAGTACAAATGACAACGAGTTGATTTATCACCTATAATATTAGTAATCTAACTAAGCTAGGACCCAAGTTCCTGCCGAACCATGTTGACTTCAATTAATCTGACAAGCAAATCGAATAGTTGGTTCACGTTCGCAATCTCAGTGTTGTTTAAGATCATTGCACTATTTCTTTTGATGACTGCACTATTGCTCAATAAAGTGTCATTGTGTTCTATGTTTAATTTGCAGCTGAGCTGCTTGGGCTACCCCTAGTGCCACCCTACTCAGAAGCCTCATCCGTGCAGCAAGTCCTGCAGGGCACCAACTACGCCTCTGCCGCCGCTGGGATCCTCGACGACAGTGGCGGCAACTTTGTAAGCAACCATGGCAGCCATGCATGTGTTCATAACCAACAAATGACCAAACAACACAACTTCACAAATTGCAATAATGCAGGTTGGAAGGATCCCATTCAACCAGCAGATCCAGAACTTCGAGTCAACAGTGGCACAGATCACCAGCGCAGTGGGCGCATCAGCGGCAACGGACTTGGTGTCACGCTCCATCCTGTTCGTGGGGATGGGCAGCAACGACTACCTCAACAACTACCTGATGCCCAACTACGACACGCGGCGCCGGTACAGCCCGCAGCAGTTCGCCGACCTCCTGGCCCGGCAGCTCGCCGCGCAGCTCACCAGGCTGTACAACGCCGGCGGCCGGAGGTTCGTGGTGGCCGGCGTGGGGTCGATGGGGTGCATCCCGAGCGTGCTGGCGCAGAGCGTCGCGGGGCGGTGCTCGCAGGAGGTGGACGACCTCGTGCTGCCCTTCAACGCCAACGTGCGGGCATTGCTCGACGGCCTCAACGCCGGCGGCGGCGCTGCTGGTGGTGGTCTCCCTGGTGCCCGGCTCACGTACCTCGACAACTTCCGGATTTTCAGGGCCATCCTCGGCGACCCGGCTGCGTTCGGGTTCAGCGTCGTCGACCGCGGCTGCTGCGGCATCGGCAGGAACCGTGGGCAGGTCACCTGCTTGCCCTTCATGCCGCCGTGCGACGACAGGGAGCGCTATGTGTTCTGGGATGCCTACCACCCCACGGCGGCCGTCAACGTCATCATTGCCAGGCTGGCGTTCCATGGTGGCGCGGACGTCGTCTCGCCCGTCAACGTCCGGCAGCTCGCCGGCCTCTGAGAAGGGATGATCGGAGCTGACGTAGTAGTATAACTTCGTGGTCTGCTCCTTAAGTCCTTAGTCCTTATTATATATAGAACAAACTAAATTTGTGATATTACCCAATGTAGGAATAAAATCCTGCTAATAAACGCATGGTGTGATGAAGATGAACTGTACGTCCTGTAGATCTATGATTCCTTCGCTCTAGTGTGTTGAGTTTGTTTGTTTCAATCATGCATGTACGTATGTAATAAACTGATCCAAATCATGGACTAGTGATCCAGATTTAAAATCGTACGCGGATGCTGGACCATGCATGCACACATACAGAGCTTACATGCGCACCATGCATGAGCCGGCCATCACTAGAGCCAACACCAACAGCTGACAAAGAGAGAAGCCATGTTTGTTAGGTGAATTGTATCAGCTTTTGTGCTACAAACCTCCAACCACAAACCATGTAGTGGTTAATTATTTGTTACTTCAATCCATATATGCTTTGTACTGCGTATAAGTTTTCTGTGTTTATTTTTCGTACTATACATGGTACCAGAGATTGGAGATATGAAATGATATTGGTTGTCCCTATTGATTAGTTGTTACCTTTTTCAAGCCATTTGGGGAATCATCGTCAATTAAGTGATGCATATGTCACGTTTGGATCATCGGGCTAAAAATTAGTTTGCCATCGAAAAATAGCTAGGCTAATCATAAACTTCTTTTTTGAATGGGTTCTAACCACCAATTAGTAGCCCCTAGCTCTTACTCTCCCTCCATCCTGACATACAAGGTATCACATGAATTTTAGGATAAATTATGAGGTAAGACAAATGATGTATGTAACTCTCTCTTGACTGTAGAGAGATTTTGTGCTTAAGAGTCTGTTTTGATTCTCTCATCTAAAGTTTAGTTGTTAAAGTTGAGGACTAAAACTTTAGACCACTTTAGCGCACTTGTGCGGTTTAAAGTTTTTGTGAGGTGATCTAAACTTTAGAAAACATTTTAGGCCTTCTGTTTGGAACCTCAATAGCTAAAGTGGACTAACATATTTTGAACATGGTTGTACACACTAATGGTAGGTATGCATGCATGCGATTGGTGTTTTGGAGTACATAATTCACCCATAATACCTTATAATTTGGAACAAATTTTCAATATTTCAAAACTTATATTTGAGGACAGAGGAGGGAGTATTAGTCTATGATCATTTGAAGTTTAACCGCCTATTTGGCATCTAAAACCAGGAACCATTTTTAGTGAGGGGATCCAAATTAAACACCCCAAACCAGTGGATGCATGCACATGCTTTTGTTATTACCGAGCTTAATTTTGGCGCATGCCCTGGCTCATGTGGGCGTCACTTTCTCCAAAAGTTTTTTTTTGACAAAATTTGTATGTTAGGATGTCAAGATTTTTTTAGTGAATGTAGTAGTTGTTTTGTTACAAGGTGAGGGTGCTTGGGGTTGGAACATATTTTGGTTATTTCAATAACAAGAAGAATTTTCATCATCACAAGCAATTTATTATATCTCTGTAAAAAAAACATGTCAATGTAGGATTCAAAATTTGTGTCACAGAATATATTTCATTATACCTTATGGCATGGGATAGCTAGTGGAACCATAAGCTAGCTAGCCCACTCACTCTGGGCGCCCATTGGCCGCATGCGTGCATGGGGCGCGCGGTTAATTAACAAATGGTCAACTAGGGAATGTTGCACCATTATTTCTCATTAAGTTAAGTTAGTGCACCAAACGAAACGGAATCACTATAATATATAACTATCTAGAGATATGGCTAATCATCTGTGTTAAATTACTAGAGTGACATGCATGTCCTTTTCTAAAAAATAAAGGATTGAGTATTTCTGCAAAGAATAGAAAATAAAATCTGTGCAAGTCAAGGAGAAGCACCATTTCTGCACAAGTGCAGTAAGATATCTCGCTACAATGGTGTACACAGAGAGTCAAACTAATCAATCGACAACCTAACTGAGGATAACTCACAACAAGTTGCAGATTTTTATTGTCAGTATGTACAATCCATCATGCACCTGGATCACTAGCTAGCTAGTGCTAATATATGCTATATCCATCATCTATCCTAGCTAGTGACTAAACCACCATGCAGAGAAGAGAGCTGGTGGACTGAAATTCACGTCCCTTCAACTTATCTTGCTCCACTGCAGCAGCTCGATCCCCGGCCTCTGGCTCGCTCGTCCATCCTCGCTATATATCTCAGCCTCTCTCTCTTTTTCTTTTTTTTTTTTTTGCGAAAGATATCTCAGCTTCTCTCGTAGAAACGTATATACAAATGGAGCAAATGGTAGGTGACGCAGGCGCAGGTTCACGGCCGGACCTCCAGCACGCGTGTGTGCAGTGCTTGCGGTGAACAGCAAGGCAATGTCAACTCCCAAGCTCTGGTGCTCTCGATCTCACACTCACACTCAGACACTTAGTGCATGCCGCCATTGGCAGGGCGGCTAGCTTGTTGCTGCTGCACCTTCTTTCCATTCACGCACCAGCACTGCACCAGAGTATATAGAGATATATCTGAAGAGGATTTCTCTTTCACTGTCTCACTCTCACATGCATTCTTGTAGCTTGTTACTGAACTGTCATGGTCATGGCGGCTGGCATGTTAGCTACCAAATGGAGAGTGACCCACTCACGCTACCGATGGCGACGGCCGCAGATGGAATGAACCGGCAACAATAACCCAATCATGCGTTACCACGCACCATGTGTTTCTGCAGAAAGTGGCCTCAATTTTGTATTGCCCAGTTGGCCAAGCATGCATATGCATGCATGCATCTCGATCACTGTTCATCTGAGACTGATACGCATACATGTTGCAGTTGTTCGTCGTGTCCTGTGTCTCTGGCTCTCTGCCTAGCAGTAGCAGATCGGCTAGCAGTGGCAGTGTGGAGACTATTCTTCAGAATTGTTATGCTTGAGTTGCATGACGCCATAGGGCACTGCTGGGTGAGTGATGTGCAGTTCTTTTTGACTACAGGAAGAAGAAGTAGCCAAGTAGTAGGCCATTCTTGGCAACATGGATGATGGATCTCCTAGTGGCCATGCATGTTTTGGGTTTCATCCATGTACTGCACTCACTATAGCACTAGCTAGAGACACCACCAGTACGTGATATTGTAGAATGATTACATATATGTATAGAAAACCACGTTGCGTATTCGATTCAAGAATATACTCTATATATGACAATAATAGTTAAAGCAATAGTAGTCCTGATTGAACTCCTGATGCATGCACTGATTGCATTGGTTGGCGCATTATAAATAGCTGCTCCCGGTGCACGTACTCTCCACACAGCAAGTGCTCACTCACTCACTCGTCTTCTTCTCCTTCCTCCGGCCGGCCTCTCTTGTCACTCGATCGAGGTGCTCAATGATGGCGAAGATGAGTGCGGCCAAGAACCTTGTCCGGCTCCTCGTCCTCGTGCAGGTGGCCGCCGGTCTGCTGGCTGGCCCCGGCGGCGTCGCGGCTCTCAGCATGGACTACTACAGCATGAGCTGCCCGTTCGCGGAGATGATGGTGCGCAGCGTCGTCTACGACGCTCTCACGAAGGACCCCACCCTCGCCGGCAGCCTCCTGAGGCTGCACTTCCACGACTGCTTCGTGCAGGGCTGCGACGCGTCGGTGCTGATCGACTCGACGGACGGCAACACGGCGGAGAAAGACGCGCTGGCGAACAAGAGCCTGCGTGGCTTCGAGGTGATCGACCGCATCAAGGAGGTGCTGGAGTCACAGTGCCCCGGCGTCGTCTCCTGCGCTGACATCCTGGCGCTGGCGGCGCGGGACGCCGTGCTCCTGGCGTGGGGCCCCTACTACGACGTGCCCCTGGGGCGGCGCGACGGGACGCGGTCGCTGGACTCCGACACCTTCACGGCGCTCCCGCCGCCCTTCTTCAACACGACGTCGCTCATCAAGCTCTTCGGCTCGCACGGGTTCACGGTGCAGGACCTGGTGGCGCTCTCCGGCGGCCACACGCTGGGCATCGCGCACTGCGCCAACTTCAAGGCCCGGCTCACCGAGACGGACACGCTGGACGCCACGCTGGGGTCGTCGCTCGGCGCCACCTGCACCGCCAACGGGGACGCCGGCACCGCGCCGTTCGACCGGACCAGCACCAGGTTCGACACCTTCTACTACCGGGAGCTGCAGATGCGGCGGGGGCTGCTCAGCTCCGACCAGACGCTGTTCGAGTCGCCGGAGACCAAGGGCATCGTCAACATGTTCGCCATGAACCAGGCCTACTTCTTCTACGCGTTCCAGCAGGGGATGCTCAAGATGGGGCAGCTCGACCTCAAGGAAGGCGACCAGGGTGAGATCAGGCACACGTGCAGGGTCATCAACTCCTAGGCAATGCAAGCAACTACTGGTATACGTGTGGCTGCTGTGTCAGCAAAGTATGTGTGGCTTGTAAAAGTAAAACAAGCATGATGCATGGCACTGGTGTATGATATACGAGTGCCCATGCATACCAAGATAGGAACTAAGAATGAAGCTCTTGAAGCAAATAATAATGCAAGGATACACTATATTGTGTACTGTAACAAATAATTGAAGGAAGTAGAATCTGGAGTCCCTGCTTGTGTAAAAAAAGCCTGTTCTTATCATTGGATAGCATGGCTATCCCTAGCATTTTGGTGGCCCGGTGCAAAATTCAAAGTGAGGCCTTATGTATAAGATCGAACAATTGTTTTAAAAATGACCTATTATTTAATCTTTCAACTGTATAACTTCTTGATTACATCTTGCCAAAAAATATATAAGAACTCTTGATTACTCAATTATGGCTATATTTTAGATGAAATGTGCCATCCATTTAGTATGGCTTGTTACAAAAAATCTTTGGTAAGATATTTAAGATCTTCCCGGGAAAAAAAGGACAATTTGACACAAAACTACCCGTAAGAAATGATAGTACCTCAAAGAAAAATTTATCCATATTCTTTCTTCGATCGTCCACCACTTGTGCTGGAGCTTGAAAAC